TTAGCAAACTTTCTATGATATGTTGAAAATAGAACGCGATTGAAATCATTTATATGTATTGACCTACGAACAGGCTTTTCTAATCGCGATTACTTTCAGTTGTTTAATGCGCGCTACCATCTCTCTCATACAATCTTAATTGTTTTTCGTTCTAAATGAGCTATTAACACCTCGAACCAAATAACACGGAAATTTAACTGTCAATTAATTGGTGTTAAATTATAAAGAGCATAAGAAAAAAAAGAAAAAAAAAACGAAAAAAAGAAATAAATAAATAAATAAATAAAAATAAACAAAAACCTTTTGCGTAATTCGCTTAACAAATGGAGTAATGCAGTAAGAGAAAGACAGAAAGAGAAAGGGCCCGTTTAACCCGCATAGTATAGTAAATAGTAACAAACATTTCAAAACAGAGCAACAGAGAATGCCGAGGAAAAAGTATAATGCAAGAGGGGCGAAAAAAATAAAAAAAAAAAAAATTAGTAAATAGTGTCACCTCGCTTTCACTTGATATTGCGACTGTCAATGACACACTAGCCCTTTTGGTACACGATGTAAACAGCAAACAGCCCGTAGATATATAGGAGATAAATGTACATAATTGTACTTACACCATTTCATATATACCTACATATATATATATATATATGTATACGTAGGACTTTAAACAATTTGCCAATAACTGTTGGCAAAGTTTACGCGTATATGTGCATAGCGCATAGTGAACATAGCTTTACACCAGGCAAGTTATTGTATAAGAAAAATGCTCTCTGCGAAAACTATTTCCTCTTTTCTTTTTTTTTTTTTTGTTTTCTCTTTTATTATAAAAATTTAAGCGCCTTCACGTAAAGCTTTTCATAGCAAGTTGAAGGCGCCACTATGACTCACCAAACACCGAAATAAATGTATATATAAATCCTCGTTTTTGATTCGTTTGCATTGTTTGTTATTTTATTGTGTCAACAGGCTTACATGAGCTTAGAACGATGCTTACTGGAGTGGGTATGACTTAGAGTGCCTGACATTAAACGCAAACAGGCCAAGTGAAGTATAAACTCATTGAAATGTATGGGCAAAAAAAAAAAAAAAAATAAGTTGGTAATGGAATTGAATGAATGATGTATATATATATATGTGTTTGTCTTGTCGCATCATATTCCTCCCATTATCACTTCGCTCCCCCCCACCCCCCACCCCCCCTCTTTGCAAAAAGTCTTTTTCTAATAATTGCAAACCGTTATTTTTTTGCTTTTGCTTTTGCTTTTTTTCTTCTCTTTCTACTTTCATTTTTTTTATTTTTATTTTTTTATTTTTTTTTTTGCCTTTAAACCGCTATGTTAGCGATTAAAAGTTTAATCCGTTGTTTTTATAGGCACTTATTGTGCTTTTTAATCGTGTGACCTCATTCTTTCCTCCATTCTATCAAATGATTGTATGTTTTACACAATTGTATAGGAAAACGTAGCCTTTCTCATATATAGATGAATTTCTGCATTTTTCTAAAATTTTAAATATAACGAATTAATAAAATAATAAATATTTATTCATCCAATCTTTGCTATTTTAATAATACAAAATCTTTCCTATTTGTTAGCAGGCGATCACTTACTTACATCAATTTATAGTTCATTCTTCGAAATTTTTCCATTTACCCATAATACGCATTACGAAAAACTGCTTATATACTAATCTATTCCTTCGATATGTAACAAACAAAAATATTCATTTTGCATTTGAGATCACCCTAATGCATGCATACACTTCTCAATTATTAGAAGATTTTAATTGAATTTCATTATGTCCGTTTTTTGTTCGTTCGTCTATAGTTGAAATTCTGTAAATTTTAAAAATTTTCACGTTAAACTTAAAAGTTTACTTATATATATATTTCTCGTATACACTTGTCCCGCAAATATTTAACTCAAAATGATCGTGATTCATCTAAATTAGCTTTTGATATTGTTTTAAAAAATCGAAATTAATTTGCAAAAAATACACACACGTAACGTTTTAATCAACTTTTTGATCAATAGCCTATGATTTGTAATAGAGAAAAAGGGCCAAAAACTTCGTTAATTTCGTTCAAATACTTTTCAAATTATAGATAGATAAAAAAAAAAAAAAAAAAAAAAATTTTTGTTAAGCAATCAGTTCACAACCACACCCATAATTAACTTTAATCATATCGACGATTATCTTCCTCGAGTGAAGAGATGCCTGCGAAAGGCGAACAAAGCTTTCCTAATAGTTTTTCTATTTACTTTCTTCTTTTTTTGTTTTTTTTTTTTGTTTTGATTGTTTGCTTGATTGATGTGGCTCTGTGTTGGTGGTTTAGTTTTTTATTGACCTCATAACCTCGACACAAAGTGTATTGTTTATAGTCTTTTATAAAAGATGTGAAAAAAAGAGGGGGGAAACAAAAACCCAAACAGAATAGAGCATAATAGAACATAAAAAGAAAAGGTACAACAACAACAACAACAATAATAATAATAATAATAATAATAATAATAATAACAACAACAACAATAGTCAGGTATTAGTTTATTGTTGTTCTATAAATCGACCTCATTAAAAGTTGAACGATTTAAACTTATCCATTATATCTTTGTATAAAAGTAAATAAGAAAAAATAAAAATAAAAAAATTAGAAAAAAAAAAAGAAAAGAAAAAAATACAACAACCTTGAGATTTGTGGGCTTCAATCGATCAGTGGATATTTCTAAATGCTAAGATTAACAAAACGCTACTTGCGACAGCGAATACGTTTTAAAGTGAATTGTGTTTCTTCACCACCAGCTCGTGAACTATATGAAGCCTCTCGATAAGAACTCGTAACGATAGTTTGCTTCTTATGATATTATTTTCATTTTGATGACCCTTTCCTTCTCTCTCTCTCTTTCTCTCTCACTCTCTCTATCTATCTATCTATCTATCTATCTATCTATCTCTCTCTCTATATTGTCTTAATATTTCAAATTTTTCGAACAGTGAAAATTGAGACACTCGCACACTTTGCACACATTATTGAAAAATTGTTTTTATCAAAATTTACCTTAACTCATAATCCTAATGGCATTTAACAGATATCGCAGAGCAAAATCCAAGTGAATCCTGTTTGGTTCAAAAATTTGAAATGGAATTCGGCCCTCATATGGGCCAAACTGTTTTTTTTTTTTTTATTTTTTTTTTTATTTTTTTTTTTATTACACTTTTTGACACAGCATGTTCGAAAGCAGAAGCTCTTCAGTTGACATGTGTTTTAAATAGAAATAATCAAATTAACTCTGCCGCATGACATGTATACACTTTTTACACCTGCCCCTGTACGATGGAGGTCTAGTCATTTTGTTTTTTACTCACGCAAAAGATTCTTCAGAGATCCTATAAAGCATATATATACATTCTTGATCAACGTGAAATTCTTAATTGATTTAACCATGTCTGTCTGTCTGTCTGTCTGTATGGAGTGCGTTTTTGACACTTTCCTGATGAAGATATCAATTTAAAAATGTTGGTAAAAGCATTGGAAATTTCTGCACGCAGATTTCTTTTGAAAATGGGCCAAAACGATGCAAGCAGAAGCGTGCGGTGAAGCGAAAACTGAACGCAACTCCACATGCTCGTTACTCGGAAATTATTAAAATTAGGAGGCTACAATTGTCCATATTTACTTCACGACACACTTTATTCGTCACATGCAAAACTGGAACTAATCGGCCACATCCGACCGCATACACACACAAAGTTACAAATAATTAAATTTTATTTATTTTATTCTTATTTATCTATTGTAAGGCAAACAAGACACAATGTTTAACGATATTTTGTACACTCCTCAAATGAGTAGAATGCGAAAAACATAGTGATGGGTATGCAAGATTCGGCCCCTAACTTGTTCGATAGTGAAAAAAAAACGATTTTCAATTAATAGAACTATGGAACATATTTCACTTTGTAGCGAACAAAGTGTATCAACGGGGCTCGCTTTGTGGCGACGAAGTTTTACAGAGCTCCACTGAGATGACACCTAATCATTGGTTATATCTCTGAAATAATTCCTTGCTTATCATTCGATTTTTCTATACATCCGTATAAATGAGTATAACATCGTCGATACGCTTACATAATGTAATTACACACAATTGATATCGAATTTATTTATGTATATATGTTCCCCTACAATCTGTAATTACTTTGAATAATCACTTCACTCGCTATATGCCTTGATATATATGGGTTCCTTGGCATTTTTCTTACTCTCCATATTTTTTCTTCGACTTTTCTCAATCTTTGGATCAGACTTTTCTTATTTCAGTTTCGTTTCCATTTTGTTTATTCGATTCACCGATTCTTAAGGCAGACCTATTGTTTTGAAAAGGAGATGAAGAAAGTAAAGAACTCTACTTCGTCCGCCGAATAAGCAAAGTCTGATTTAAAGTTTATCCCGTGACAACGAGTCAGAGCCATCGCTTGTTTCCATCGTACGGTCTGTCATGTGACAGACTTACTTACACTATCTATCTGCGTACGGTAACTTAACTAATCTTACATCTATGTGCGGGAATAAAATGACGGACGATTTTGTTCCTCAAAACTTGAGTGAAAAATGCGATCAACTTAGGTTTAAGCGTATTTTAATTTATTTTGCAAGTGATGTGAGAAGAATTTGTCCAATAAAGGAAAAATTTATAAATAAATTTGCTTTATACATTTTTATGTAACTCTTTTTATCGACTATATATATATATGAAATTTGAAATAATTTTGTGTTTGTATGTGTCTGTTTAGTTAATTATTATTGATGAAAATGCATATGAAAAATCGAAATTATTTCCCAATTCTCTCATATTCAATTTCGCGTCATTGCACTGACTGCACAATTTATTCATTTAACACAATCAATACCTTAGTTAGTATATGCGCGAGTGTATGCGATATGTTAAATACATTGGAAACATTGAAATTTGATGCATAAATATCTCAATTGTTTTCTATAGATATCGGCCGTATGTACGAGCGTATAATATGAATGGAGCTCAACTACTATGACCCAGGATACATCTTATTGTCTATGCATCATGAACAAAATGTCATTTGATTATTTGAGAACATGAGTGCATTAAAATTGTATACAAAATTTTCTAGTTAGTAAATGCTGGTCGAATTCGAATGCAAATATAAATCAGAGCAACAACAAATAATAACAATATTTTTTTTGTTATTGTTATAACATAAAAATTGCTACGCAATAATGGGTGATTTACAAGCCACAATAGAATTTTCGGTTGAATTATATAAATTCTTTAATGTGGACTTATTTCAAAGAGGGTAAGTTAATAATATTTCAAAAATGATTAAATAATTTTATTGCTTTTTTTTTTTGCTTCTTTCCATACATACATACCTAATTAAATGCATGCATGCGTTTCAAAATTGTAACATATTTTAATGCGTAAAATTTAGATTAAAATTTTCTAATATCAAGGATTAGATCAAATTGCAATCAATAAATATTTTATATATTTTTTATCATTTAATTTAATTATGACCCATGCCATGTCCATGCGCCCAGCTTATGATTACTGAGAGGATTGTTGTTTAAAATTTGCCTTAGGCAGCAAAGAAGAGTTTTTTTTTTTTTTTTTTTTTTTTGATAGTTTTCTGCACCCATCACCGAAGGACGAGGGATATATTCCTTCTGTCAAAACACACTTGCAATGCCCAGAAAGTAGCTCCAAAACTCCATAAAGTATACATATTCTTGATCAGCATAATCTTGTGAATCCAATCTTCGTTTGCTACATCTGCATGGGAACGTTTTGCACTTTACGTGTTGTGGAATGATAGCGAGAGCGAGTTGCATAGCAATGATTAATCTCATCGAAATCTTCATCATGTCTCCTTTTAATATTTGAAAATCGCTTTAAGGCCCATTATCTATCCAACGATTGTCTCCGTCAAGCTACACGGACATGTTTCTGCTTGGAAATTCTTTTAAACAAAACTAAACACTTACCATATTCATCTATTAAGAGTAGAATGTGTAGACTGACCAACAGAAATCCATTTGACGCAGCCAATTTCATGCCACGAAATATCTTACAAATTCTTGTACCCATTAAGCCCATAAAACGGATTTGATTTTTTGAAAAATTTACAAGAGTATTTATCCCGTGAAAAGAAAAAATATAATTTTATAGCTTGTTGTCTTGTTGTTTCATATATTAATTAATTTTTAAAAAGAACAATAATTAATCAATTGATTGATGTTTTTTTATTTACATACATTGATTACATGAAAGCATATTGATGCCAATAGAAGCGTATCGTTGTTGGAAATTTTCTGCGATTAATAAGCTTTAACTTAAAGGTAAACAACTTTCGAAGAAGTTCGCGTTCGAGATGAAGTCCGCGTTCATTACTTGCTCAATAGTATTTGCATTGGTTCCCGCCCAGGGACTTGGGTTAATCACTATGAGTGGATGTCTTGCAACTTGCAATTCCGTTAAATTTCGAAAAAGAGAACAAGGCTTAGCGACAAAACCCAAATAATATATTTTCAAAACAAATTCTTCTAAATTGATATATAGCGAAATCTTTGGACAATCCCATCACGAAAAATAGTTGTGGGTGCCGTCCGTCGTACCGTCCTTGGAGGGAAAAAACTTTTCTCATTTATAAAAATCTCTTATCTATTATAACGTGTTTGCTCGGGCCGGCAACACACACGTATATTATACGGACCAACGATTTCGGTTTACATGCCTTCATTAGTTCTCTACTATGCAATTGCTTAAGATTAAATAAAACTGTTTAATAATAATGAAAATCGTTTCTTGCAACAATAAGTTCATGGTTGAATGGAATAAGATATAACTGTTTGCCGGGTATTAGTTGCGTTTATTGTAGACTTGTCATTTCGTTTAAACCTATGTGGTAAGTGTCTTAAAGGCTGCACCTTGACATTTGGATCCGATTTAGATATACCTGCCCGCCGATGAATTTGTACACGAATTCCCATTCTCAAGTATCTGGCAGACCGGTGGTCCAAACAACGGCCTTGTAAAGTAACAAATCAAAGGATCTGAACTTAACGAAGGCATTGAAGATAAGAAATTCATTTTGAAACTATTCCCCATAGACTTGCGGACGCATTTGCAATGACCGGAGAGGCATAAAGCTTTTGAAACAGAGTAAAAATCCATATACCGACCATATTTCTTATACACTTTGCGATTAATATCGGAAATCCATTGCAAACTGAATTTAATATTTTAACGTTTATAAATTTTGTTTCGCATTTTGAAATGCTCCTTTCGTCAATAATTTTGCTAATTGAATTTTCCTGATAAATTTATTAAAAAGAGGAAAAACTATAAATGTCTGTAATGATATTTAACCACATTCTGGCAATTTCCTTTCAACCGCATTTAATGGAATTTTTTTTTAACCGAACCATTCGATATGAAAATTTCATGCACGTAATCATACCATTTCATTTACCCATACAATTGACCTAATTTTCGCATAAGCAGCAGTATTTGTAGTTTTAGTAAACCTGATGGACTCATATACTGTATGCCACTGCATGCAATTTATACTTGTATGCATGCATGTATGTATGTATGTATGTATGTATGTATCCATGTAGGTATATAAATGTGTTTATATAGATTTTCTAACGTACTCGTACATTATGTTTTTCCTCGTTCCCTGTTTTCTTCTGAAACTGAACTGAAAATTCAATAAATTGTTTTCTGTTTATATTTAACAAACACAAATAAACAAATATATATGCATACATACATACACATATAAACACTTAGATTATATCAAGTGCGATGTGGTCTAAGAGTTTCACCCAGACTGCCCGTGCAAGTGGAGATGAGTATACCCGAGACTACATCTAATGGCCAGCCAGCAATACAACCGATACCAAATGGTGGCGGGGTTTGTAGTAGTGTTGGAGATAGTACTACTACTACTACTGTAACAGTCAACAATAACAATCCCACGCCCAGTAGTGGCAGTAATGCAAGTAATATCACTGAAGCAGAACTTCGAGGAGATCATCAACATCAACATCCTCATCAGCAGCAGCAGCAGCAGCAGCAGCAGCAGCAACAGCAACAACAACAACAACAACAGCAGCAACAGCAGCAGCAACAGCAACAACAACATCACCAACAAGAATCACCACTCAACAATTCGCTGATACTATCGAACACAGCCAGCATAATTAATGGGGCGGGCGCCTCGCGTGTATTCCAGATACTCTATCGCAACGAAGAAGTGTCATTACGTGATGTTATATACTTTCGAACACATCTATTAGGTAAGTAACAAATACCAGCATGCTCGGCATTTATACACTTATGCACTTATACACACTAATACCGATACAGATGCAAATGCTACTTATACGTAAACTCAGACACGTCAAGTGTGTAAATCTACCTAGATATTAATAAATATGCGGCTATAACTATTCGAATGTGTGTGTGTGTGTGTGTGTGTGTGTGTGTGTGTGCACGCATATAAATGTAGAAAAGGTGATTTAGCACAAATGTATATGTGCACGCACAACCGAGATGACAAATATCGGGGCAGTCATGATAAATTCGTTGAGTGCTTTTATTTTATTTTTTATTGTTTCTTGTTTTTTTTTTTTTTATTTTTTTTTTTTTTAACATTACTTGTCATCACCATCAGGCATCAACATCGTCGTTGTCATAATCCTCGCCATCATCGTCATCATCATCATCATCATCATCATCATCACCATGGTAATGAGGTTAAACTTTAACATTTCCCTTTTGCTGTTGAGTCTTTAATTAAATGTATTGTTGTTACTTATATTAAATCAACTGCAATAAAATTGAAATCGTTAAGCTTTACCTCTAGGCCAGCGTATACATTATACATATGTAAATATATTTTTACTATATATTTATGTATGTACGCATAAAATATATCTATACATATATATACATGTCCCATAATATGATACCACTGTACATATATAGTTGAGACACAGAAACGCAAGAGAGACGCTAAGCCCCATAAGGGAGCAAAAAAAAAAAACAAATTGGCCGCTGAAATGAAAGATGAAAAAATAAAGATAAAATTGAAATTGCAAGAGGAAAGCACTGAAATGGAGAAATAAAATACAATCCGCGTCTAGCCTTAAGAGTTACAACTGCCGCATTGTTTAAATTATTTTTACGCTATCTAGACCCAATACCAAAACTATTTTAGGCCGTTTGTTTTTTTCTTCTTTTAACACGCTGTAACATGTGATGTCGTAATGCCCGACAAGAGCAGACAAGTGCCAAAAAAAAAAAATAAATAAATAAATAAATAAAAATTATTTCACTCGTCCACTTACGGAAAAGAATGTACACTACGTTAAAATAAAAAAAAAAAAAAAAAAATTTTGAAAAAAATAAAATAGAAAACAAAAAATTAATTAATACAATAAAATCAAATAACTATGTGGATAAAGCTCATTATTTTTTATTATTATCATAGTTGCTTTCAATCGAAAAACAAATAAAAAATCTATAGTAGACGATGGCTTACGATCAAATGCCGTACATCACTCCGCTTAATACAGTTACTCGTAAAAAAAAGTTTCAAAATAAGGCGTGATAGGGGAAATGATCAAAAAAATGGTCCGATCGAAATCATTTTCAATAGCGTTCGTTGTTCGGCTACAACACGTCAGTGCGCCAAATTGCATTCAAATACATCGAAAATTTCGGCCTATAAGTTGCAGACAAGACATAAGACTAACGGACAGACAGATAAACTAAGAGAAAATGACTCTATTAGAAGTTCTTCTGTACGTTGCATAAGTCCGCCTATACTTAGTATACCCATGCACCACAAGTAGCATATGGTAAGTAAAACAAAAGACATAAGACAAAGGGACAGACAGGTAAACTAGAAGTTCTTCTATACGTTGCATAAATCCGCGCAAACTTAGCATACCCATGCACCAAAAGTGGTATAGGGCAAATAAATATTTAATTTTCGTTAAATCTTGGTCTAAATAACAGAGCTGATCGCATATATAACACGTTAACTATCATCGAAAAGACGTTTATTAACTTGTAAGTTTTTTGTTATAACCTACACCGTTTCTAATAGAGATAGGTAGGTAGACTCACCTTTTATTATACCAATCGAATTATATTGATTTTCTAAATCAATTTACTTTGTCAAATCTGCGTCATGTATCATGTCTGTCCACGATTTTTTTTTTTTTTTTTTTTTTTTAAATATTAAACTAAAAATTTTTAGGTAGTTTAATCCAAATTTTTTTTGATTATATATCTTAGCTTAAAAAAAAAAAAAAAAAAAACCTATTGAAAATGGTTTGCATCGATTCATTTTTATGACTGAAGCCCATTGAGAATGAATTGGATCAAATAACTTTTATGACCACTCGTCGTCTTATTTTGGAAACGTTCTTATATAACCAAAAATTGAAATTTTCTAAATTTCTCGATAACAAATCGCTGAGTAAAATAATAAATTGTTACGGGAAACTTGGATCAATATTTTGAATTTTCTCTTATAAAACGAGACAATTTAATTTTCAATAATTATTCAGCCTAAAGCAATGCAAACAATAAATATCCAGAAATTAGTAGGAAATGCTACTCCTTCGAGGAGAAAAATCAAGGGGTATCCCTATTATACATCTTTTCATCGAATATGTTTGCAAGATTTTTGCGTAATAAGTTTTCATTAAAGACATCTCTTTACCACCTAGTTATGAGTATCCTACTCCATGGAGCCGTAGAGCACTTTCTCGATCAAATATTTGATATGAATATCTTTAAAAGAGTCCTATTCCACTGATTTGGATGGCATCACTTTATTGACCTACACTTGTAATTTATCGCGATCGTCTGGTATTTGTCCGAAGGTGTTGAAGAATAGTTTCATTGTTTCTATATCTTGGGGAATAACTCTTGGAATAATATCAAAAATGTTAAAACTATAGTCAAACCTAAGCTTTTTAAGAGCTTGGTCACAAAAATTTTATTAATTTTAATTTTTTCTCCCATTTCAAGATGGTTTTATTCCTACTAGATCGAAAGTGAAAAGATCTATCGGAACATTTCCTAGTTATATCTTTAAAAGTATGTCCAATGCACAGCAACTTATGCTAATTTTAGGATATTCATCTACAAAACTTACTTTATTTCGCTTCGCCATATTACATAATTTATAGCTTGGTACTTTCGCTCTCTTCTCACTTCGCTCAATTGTGAACAAAGTCACGTGTAGAGTGATATTTATCAAAAGAAGGTGATGAGTGAGAGGGCTGTAGATTACATTGATAAGTCCAATACTAGAATATATGTTAAAAGTTGTGGTCCAGCAACTGCCATACAGCCGAGTAGACAAGAGTATTTGAAGGTGCAAATGTCAATGCGGTTTAATCATACTTGATCGTAGTTATATTGAGTGCTAAGTCGACATGAAGACATAATACATTTATCGATAGAGCCACACATCTGCTAGGCTGCGGCCAATTCCCTCCCCATTCTCTTTGTCACCATTTTTTTTAGAACCATTACAATGCTACACGTATGGGGGACACAATCATTTTCAAAAAAAGTGGCGTTTGTCTAGGAACAATTTTTTATCTTCGTCTTACGGGGATTGAGATGGAACTCTAGTTGTACTCTCTCTCGATCGAACTTTCGCACCCTTATAGGAAAACAAAAAAGATCGGAATCGAATTCAAAACTAACGAAATATCTCTCGTCATAATTTTTACATCCATCATCGAAAGATGTGGATATATGTGTCAGAAGGTTTGCGACGCCGAGAAGTAGGCTTCGAGAACTCCGCAAAGTATATATATTCTTGATCAGCAACAAAATCTGAAGCGATTTGAGCATGTCCCCTTTATCCGTTTGTGCAATGTCTGTTGTAAACATTCTTCTGGCCGCAAAAGTGGTGCTATCGTCCTCAAATTTGGCGCAATCATTGGTTGCTACAGAAAATGGGCGAAATGAACTGAAAACACCTTTGTTTTCTAAAAATAATAAAATGTTGGTCTTTGCTTATTGCTCGTAAACTCGTAGCAGATATATGTATAAAAATTTGAAGGCATATTTTATGTGCGATACTGTATAAAAATGGGAAAAATTGGTCACGCCTACTCGGTATAATGATGTATCGAAAAAAACTATTTTTTGAAAACCTTTATAACGTGCAGAAACAAGGTTGTAACAACCCCACAAGGTACATAAATTCTTTGGCCAGGATGCACCTAAACATCTCCGTCTATCCGTCTGTTCATCTGTCTGTTTATCCAAATGTAAAGTATCTGGAATAAATATGAAGATATCGTTTACAAACGTACAAAAGAATTTGAAAATGTCCCAAACTTTTTAAAGAACACGCCAACAACCCGCCCACATGACTATGTAACAAAAAACTGTGAACTCTATTGCTTTCCGTGTCTTCCGCTTGATACCCATAAAGTACAACACATACATACATCATATAAATTTACACATTTATTTACTTTGCATTTATATACTTTATCGAACATTTGAAGTTTGCTTCTTTACGTATAAAAAAAGAAAGGTTTGAAAAAACGAAAAATAAAATTATGGCACATTATGAAATTTAGTAGTCGCAACTCCCTTTTTTCATTTTTGTAAAGGTACTACAGCATCGCCTTTTTGCAAATATATCTGCTATAGTTAGTGAGTAATGAGCAAAAAACCAATTTGTTATCCCTTTCGAAAAACATAGGTGTTCTCAATTTACGGACTAGTGTAGATGTGTCCTTCTACCGATTTGACCCAATTTCAAGACCAGACTGCGTACAAGAAGTTCCCATGTCGAGTAAGAGAATGTTTACAACATACATTACAGAGACGGACAGACGGACAGACGGATAGACGTGAACGTGATTAAATCGTTGCAGAATTTGATGCTGATCACGAAATAAATATACTTTCTGGGGTGTCTCTGAAACATCGGATCGGACCACCTTTCCGATCATCATATTATCGCTTGAGTACACTTCAATATGAGGGCTGCATCATTTTCAATGATGCATTTACATAACAATAATGTAGAATTTTTAATGCCTTATTAATTAAACGAAGTAGTCTAGGTTATCTAATCGTCGGTCTTGCTCGACTATAGCTTTCTCATTTGGTTTGCATTAATTTCATTCCTACGACCAGGGAATGTGCATCAGAAATTTCATAGAATACACACATTACTGATAATGCCCACATAAATTATGCGTGACATTTAATTCGATATTCAAAAAGAGCAAAAATTATTATTTTTACATAAAATTTTGACAGCCTTCGGCATAGAGTCATACTACAGTAGTACAAGTAGATATATTATAACACTCAGGGCAATCGGATCGTATATTAAGCGTTAAAAACTTCATAAAGGGCTTATGTTCGATGAACACGCAATGTATATTATCACTCTTTTCGCTACGCTACGCTACGTAATAGTATGCCATAATGTATCATGGGCGAAATTTAAGCTAAATCTATCATTGCTGTCAATAAAACAGAAGCGAAGTCATGCAATTGATGTAAAGCGTTCAAAAGACAATTATTATTGTGGTTCTTAAAAGGCTATGAACGAAAGAGCATCGCAGACTTACCCCAAGAGTATCGTCTACAAGTTTTTCTTCTTTGCAAAGCTGAAATTCAACTTGATTCGAGTTCAAGTCGAGCCTTTTGAGTCAGTTGAAGCCACGATTTTTTATCGAGATAAAGGTCCATGCCTCAAGCTTTAGCGCACTTTTATTGTCTTGATGAATATTTATTGTTTAACAATTCTGGATCCGCTTCACATTGTATGGACGGACACCTGCAATTATAATGAGTTTATGGAGTCGATTTACTCATTTGCTGACTATTAACAGAGTCCTGAAGATCAGATAATTTTAGAGATAAATTCCGCACACGTCTAATACATTAGTTAACAAATCAGAACAAAGCTGAAAAATGCTCAATTTATTACTAAAGCTAAACGAATTTTTATGATGATAGCGTGTTTTAAATGTGATGATGGGATATTATAAGCTATAGGACAGCAGTTGCACAAAAAACATTTTATCATAATAATCGATTTGCGATAAATATTTGTATTATCTGATTACCTTCCAGTAATTTTACTTGTCAGATTAAGGCAAGCAGGTGGAATTGGTCTTACTGTTTATAACATACCTCTCTAGCTGCGAAGTGCAGTGGACAGAATGCATTTTGCATATGATTCGTTTCCAGAAGGTAAACAACGCATCGGTGCGTACGTGAAAACGTATGTTGCATGTTGAGAAGTGAGTTTGAATATGCACCTACCTGCGAAAGATGATTTGCCAACACATATTTCAGACTCATAGAAGATCTTCGATCGTTGAGCGATAAAGATACTTCGTGGCTGGATAACCCATACCTAACTATTTTACTTATTGCAAATTGCTGAGCAACACATCAAACATCTCTCAAATTCTCATGTTTCATTTAAAATACAATAGAACTTTCCCGCCCAGGCAATAATACATAGAATTGACTATATGATTGACAGACCTCGAGATTGGGATGACGCAAAACTTACTTAGTTTATAACGGCGTTCATTTTCTTCTTCTTCTTCTTCTTCTTCTTCTTCTTTTTAATTCATGGATGATAACTGTGCGTTATACTAATGGATGTTGTAAAAGCAAATTGAAATCACACTGACCTGTATTTGAGATATACTCGCAGAGAGCGAATGTGTGACAGATGAAAAATACTTTATTTTCTTACATCAAATAGATATGGGAGGGAAGAAAAGCAAAACTTAAGCTTTGCAATGTCCGTATGTTGATGCAAAACAAAAACAAATAAATATATATATATATATATATATATTTTTAATTACAAGGTCACTTCAACTTAAGCATCTATCATTTTCCATGTTTTTGTTATATTAAAATAAAAATAAATATAAAAAAAAGAAAAAAAAAGACAGAAAAAATTATTATTCGTTTATCTGCATATCAACATATATTTGTAAGAGTTTTATTAAAGCTCTCACAAACGTATTAAGTCCTTGTGCACATCTATTCATAAGTGATAATACACATAAACATATAAACAAATCTTCTTCTCCTTAACAAATTTTACTTAAACAAGTAAATGTCTATATAAAGTTTCATACACAACAGTTATGGTAGTGATTGTGCTAGTAGTAGTATTTGCACTAGTAGTAACAGTAGGAGTAGTAGTCGCAGCACATTTTGTCATTCGACTACAAAGACACTACATTAAGATTTTCTTTAAGCAAATGTGTTAAATAACAAGTTGACATAGTTATAATAACATACGCATGTAAAATTTTAATGGTATGACAGTAGAAACGTAAATAATTTCAACTATATTTGATGTTAATGTTGTTGTCATTGTAGCACAGTAGCACAGTTGTTAATACAGATTTTATTATAAATTTCATCATTATAAGCTGGGTAAGCATATTATTGCTAAAACAATCAATTCCATTATAATCTAAACAAGTAAGACAATCCGACTTTTTCTTATCAAAACCATCACAAACTATTATCCGAATATCCGCATAATAGGATTCATTTTCGTAGTCATATTTTAGATGGCTTCCCGTTAAATTGTTTGCATTAAATTTCAAGTCAATATTTGTTGTTCATGTGTATTTGTGTATTTGTGAACGCAATCGTCGTTTTCAATAAAGTTTTTATTTAAATTTTATATAATCTTAAGAAAATATTTCTGATAATAGAGTAAAATATCGCCAAATATCTTGTCCAAAGATTTTCTCTCTTCTAGGCATGAGTGCAAGCCGAACAAGACCACTTTCAAAATTGATATGTGTTGTTATCCAGACTTAGTATTTGGTTAGTATTAGTTTTCTCTCTCAATAAGTAAGATCGCCACGGTTCCGTTAATACGTGACAATCCAATAAGATATATAGACGGACAGACGGACAGACGGGCAGACGGATATAGTTTAGATAATTTCAAATTTTTCTCTAATGCTTTATATTTCCTCTGAGTGTAACTGAGACAAGAATAAATCTAATATGCCCTTTCATATCCTTCGACGGTTGTTATATGATAAAAATATTTTAAAAAGTATTATGTTAAAGCGTTGAAAAGGAAAAAGGAACTCCAGGGGATAAACGATAAAAATTTGAAAATGAAAGACACTTTCACATACGCACACACATATATATGCAGAGATTTTAAAAGCATAAAATCACACGCTTCACAGCATTAAAAGTATATATCCTCTAGGGCGATTAAAAAAAAAAAAAAAAAAAAAGAGAAAAAAGAAAAGCAAAACAAAAAAACCCCTATTAAAATATCCTCAATATTATGAGGAAAAGCATATAATAAAAAAAAAAAAAATAAATAAATAAATAAAATAAAACAATTTTCAAGAATATATTCTTCTTATGATATTAAACTATTATTTCAAGCATATAAACAAGAGACTCCGTATATGAGTGAGGTTACGGCTATCCTGTAAAGACAACGAGTAGACAAGTATTTTACGACAACAACAGAAAATACTGCACATAGTTTAGTATAATTTGAACCTTAAATCAATAAATTTCCTTCAATTAGCAATTTTAATATTTTTCATTTAAAAGAAATACCTGACGATCAACAGAAGTTGCACCCTGGGTATAACGTGAGTTGCTGCCGTTAAGGATTAACCTCACGGCGGCCGTAACCCACGCCCCTTGGCGAGTTAGACAATCCCTATAAGCTAGGGACCTAAACAGCATCAGACTCCAGATTGTTTATTGTGTATGGATCAATAAACCCACTCTGGACCTAACGATCAACAATAATCAAGGGGAAATAAAGTTCCTAATTCACGCTTATATACTCTCTAGGGCCCAGAATTATTAGACCCTACTTCCATAAGAGTAACTCGACAAGACATTGAAGCAATATTTCTTAAACTATGATTGCCACTATCAAGCTTATAAAGCTTATATGGTTTAACGTCCCAGTCGGGTCTAGATTGTCATCTTAAAGAGTCAGATACAAAGATAAAATATTGGATGGCACAGCTTATACGAAACCGAAAGCCCGACTGTCAAGCCGGATATCGACAAACGACATATTCATTATGACGGTGGTCAAAAACGAGGCGTTGCCACAAACTCTTATCGCCAGATTTGAAAGAAATGGATTCTGCGACAAATCCCTATCTTGATAAACTTAACCCGAACGGGGGAAATTGAAGTCATTACGTATGTCGAGTACAAATGTGTCGTCGTGAAAGAAAGAGGTAAGAAGGAGGAAAAAGGTGTCAATTCTGATAAGCGAAATCGGACTCGAGTAAAGCATAATCGAATAAGTAATAGTTCGAATGGGTAACCGAGGCTTCTAATAGACAATGCTAGTTTCTAATAAACATCAGCGTCTTAAATAGCGTTTATTAAACAACATGTACAGTACATGTCCATTTATTTAGTTAATTTAACTTTCCAGCATATTTGTAACAAGTTTTTATTTTTCTTTCGTAATCAATATATGATGAAATTGTCAAATTTCGCGGACTGGTTCGTGTACTTGCTAAGAGCTGAGATCAATAAATGACTAGAAGAACTGAAAGAAAGTAAAATATATGCATAAGCATATAATCGAAAACGAGTAAAAATTATATATATTAGGCCATGATCCGCATCCATGGAATGTCTTACATTGCTTCACTTAAAGCAATTATTTCTATAATCACATTTCAAAAGGTTGTCTGTTCCGCATGAATCATTTTTAGTTGCATTCGTTCGTGGGTCAAACCACATCGATGTATCGACTTTCCTAAATATTGCGATCTGCAAGTTGAACGTGGACGGACAGACATCAGACAAGCTTAGATGGGTATAATAACAAATGCATCGATCTCAAAAGGGTGTAAAGTTATATTTAAATATAACTAGCACTTGGATACTGCGCTGCATATATATAGCGCAGTCGTTAGATGCAGCACAGTCGCTAGGTGCAGAACAGTTGCTAGATGCAGCACAACAGTTATGTGCAGTGGTCATTTTTTCTTTTATACTATTTTGCAAAATAATTCTCGAAAAGTTCTATTTTACTTGTATTTTGATTTAAATCCCTCCGAGACTTCTTTTAATAGAATTAATTCTGTTAACGGCTTTACAGAGCTGTACAAAAAAATTGTAATTTGTGTCTTGTGCTAGTTATATTTCAATATAACTTCACACCCTTCTATCTCAAGTCCTTCTGAATGTTGTCTGTATCCGTACAAACTTAATATACACCTGCACCGCAAATGGTATATAGGCGAGAACTAGTCGTTAATGCATTTTGTTCGGAAAAACAAATAACAAACAAAATTTATATTTATTATTTATCATCCAGTGTGTTTATGCATTTATATTGTAAACAAGTTTAGATGTATATAAATTCGGTTTAGATTTTTGATACAAAAGCTCATAAGATAAAGCAGATTTCATTACGAATTCATGTTTCCATTGGGATCAAAATCTTCTATGTATACCATGCCCCATAGAGTTAAAAAAAACAGTAAATTAATTATAAAAAATTTCAGAGAAATAATGCATTAAAAGCTATCAAAAAAGCTTAAGCTGTGAAATTGGATTTTGTGCTTTTAATGTCCTTTGTGAGATGGAAGGAAAGACGCCGGAATAATAATGTACAAACAAGTTAGTAAACATATATGTAAGCATTTAAAATCAAATTTTTAATTTAAGGACGACACGCAGTCTATTGTGTGTCCAGTTGCTCAATACACACTCATACGCAGGAAATTTCGAAAATGTTGTTCTTTGTATGACTGCAAAGCCCAAAATGTCGTC